AGGAGAATGCATTGTGGTATGGCCATCCCCCCGGGGGGTGATTTCTCGCTTTCTGTCTCTCTGTCTCTGTCTTTCTGGCGGGCACACATGTCCTATAGCAAAAATCTCTTAAAAAAATAAAATACCTATTTAGTGCCATTTATTGTAGTTGTGGTTTTCATTTCCCCCTCATTTACCTCTGTGGAGAAAGAACTACTTTATAACGGCATTAGGCTAGATGGCTCTCCATGCCGTCAGAGTCCTAGCTCACGGCACGCACAGACGCAAGCCACCAGATGGAGCACGGATGCAAACATCACCCAGCCTGGAGAGAGGGCATGGCAACTTGTGCCTCCCTACTGCACAGCGCCCCTTCTCTGCCTTCACCGGAGGGGCACCCATACGACGCTGCACCTTCCTGGGCTGGTAGGTGCAGGCGGGAGGAGCAGGCGAGAGCTGCCCACGGGAGGTCAGTCCAACCCTGGCCACGCCGTCAGGTAAATCCAGCGGAAAGTGACGTTCTTTCCAGAATGACCGGGACCCGTAATGCACAGTACGGAACTGAGAACAGCTCATTTTGCTGCTCACCCACCACGTGCTACTCACCGAGCTGCACACCTTACAGCGTCAGCACACGCATGGTTAAACAGAAATGTAAGGCACACACACTAACGCTGCCTGACCAAGCACATGCAGTGTTAGTGCATCCACTGCCTTCCCTGGGCAGCCTCACCACGGTCTAGGCTTAGAAGCGCTGTATCCCCCCAGAAAGACACCTCCTACCCATCAGCAGTTCCTCCCCATTCACCCACCCCCTCAGTACCAGGCAAGAACTAATACTTTCTACCTCTACTTACCTACCTATTCTGGACTTTAGAATTATTTAACATTATTATTATTATTATTATTATTATTATTATTTATTTATTTTGGAGAGGTTTTCGCTATAGGGCACATGCACTCACCAGACAGACAGAGACATAGAGACAGAAAACGAGAAATCACCCCCCGGGGGGATGGTCACGCCGCAATCCCTTCTCCTCCATTCTCCTCTTGGGATCTTGGGCACACACGCACATGCGCCCGGTGTGAGATTTAAGCCACCGGGTCTGAGACGCGAACCGCGGTCGACTACGTGGGAGTCCAGCGACATAGCCATTACGCTAACTGCTGGTTCCCTATTATTATTATTTTTAAATTTGACCGAGAGAGAGAGAAGGAAAGTGAGAAAGCCAACTACCAGGTCCAGGATTTGAACCGCAGCTGGCCCTGTGGGAATCCAGCGCCCCTAACTACCACACCCCCTCTGGTTCCCCTATTACGACGTTTACACCAATGGAATCGTACGATAGGTCAATTCTGTTTTACAATTTCTTCACGATGGGGAGTATGCATGTGCACATGAACATAGGCGAGAGAGACACTGGGGGGCAGGCTCTCCACGGGGTCTGACGTGGGGAGATCAGGCCTATCCAGGCTCGCCACCTGCTTCCTCTGGTGTGGAGCCCATCGGGCCTTGGGCCCCTGGGCACGTGCTGGCCTGCTTCATGTTTCAGGTGGCCTGGGCCGGACACTGCACCTGTGGTTACCCAGTGGGGTCTTGGCTTCTCCTGAGCACCGTGTTACCCCTGCTCAAGGAAGCTGGTCTCTGTAGGTCAGTTCTAAAAACAACTCTGTAAGGAGTTACCCAATTTATTTCACACACTGAACACTGAAGTTCAGAGGGCTTAAACCACCACCCAGGATGGCGGACGGGAAAGGGACACTCAACTCCCCGACCCCAGGTCTGTGCTTTCAACAAAGCACTAGGCAACACCCTCCCACTCTCCCGATGACCTGTCGGATGCATCTACTCCCTGTAACGCTCAGCGCTTCCTGTTTACCAGGTGAGAAGAGATTCCGACACACTCCTACAGACAGTTGCCTTAAAACTCATCTCTCGAATAGTTAACTTTTATTTTCTAAAGAGTGGAATGATAGTCAGGGCCCAGACTCCTGGAGGAGAATTCATTTCATCCGCTGTAGTAGCTCGCCCACACTGGCCACGTCTATACCGGAAAAGGAGACAGTGATGTTTAAAGCAGGAAAAAACCCCTCTGGACCATCGTGAGAGAATCATTCCCGATGTTTTGATCTTGTATTTTTCATAAAGGAAAGCCTTGTGGCAGTAGGACTCCCACAGCTGCGTCGGTGTGCTCTGAGACGGAAGGCAGCTGTGACAGATGGGTAATGTTGTACCAAAACCGAGGCGTGAGCAACAGAAGAACCTCTCCAGTGTGAACTGAAGTTAGGATTTCTGTAAGCCAGCTGTGAGCAGCTTAACATGGACCTTCTCTGCTCACTCTCTTTTAGTTTTGCTGTAGGGTGTGTGTGCACTCGTGAGAGAGGAGAGAGAGAGAGAGAGAAAGTGGGAAATCAACCCCCTGGGAGGGAGGGCATGCAGCAATTGCTTCTCCTCCATTCTCCTCTTGGGATTTGGGGCATGCACACACATGTACCTAGTGTGTTGTTTATTTATTTGTAATAATAATTTATTTATTTAATTCCATTTGTTGTTATTATTTTTTAATTTGACCAGAGAGAGAGAGAAAGGGAAAGCGGAAAAGCAAGCTACCAGGTCCAGGACTCGAACTGCAGTCAGCCACGTGGGAGTCCAGTGCCCTCAACCACCTCGCCACCTGCCAGTGCCCCCAGTGTGTTTTTAAAGCCATCTGATCCGGGGATTTGATCTGTACAGCTGACCATGTGGGATCCAGCTGCCTTAACCACCAACCATGTCACCTGGAGGACCCTCTGCTCTCTGAAATGCAAATTTTTAGCTTCTTAGGAAACTTCAAAAGATAAACTGTCTTCTAAGAAAAAGAGTTGGAGAAGATGATGAAGCCTGGGATGAGTGACAAGTCCAATACTTTGCTTGGGTTGAATGATGGTGGCTATTATTTTTCATACCGACCACATTAACAGATAACATTTTTAAAAAGAATTATTTCATTTTATTTATCATTATTATTCACATTTTTACGTGCTGGCCTGCTTCATGTTTCAGGTGGCCTGGGCCGGACACTGCACCTGTGGTTACCCAGTGGGGTCTTGGCTTCTCCTGAGCACCGTGTTACCCCTGCTCAAGGAAGCTGGTCTCTGTAGGTCAGTTCTAAAAACAACTCTGTAAGGAGTTACCCAATTTATTTCACACACTGAACACTGAAGTTCAGAGGGCTTAAACCACCACCCAGGATGGCGGACGGGAAAGGGACACTCAACTCCCCGACCCCAGGTCTGTGCTTTCAACAAAGCACTAGGCAACACCCTCCCACTCTCCCGATGACCTGTCGGATGCATCTACTCCCTGTAACGCTCAGCGCTTCCTGTTTACCAGGTGAGAAGAGATTCCGACACACTCCTACAGACAGTTGCCTTAAAACTCATCTCTCGAATAGTTAACTTTTATTTTCTAAAGAGTGGAATGATAGTCAGGGCCCAGACTCCTGGAGGAGAATTCATTTCATCCGCTGTAGTAGCTCGCCCACACTGGCCACGTCTATACCGGAAAAGGAGACAGTGATGTTTAAAGCAGGAAAAAACCCCTCTGGACCATCGTGAGAGAATCATTCCCGATGTTTTGATCTTGTATTTTTCATAAAGGAAAGCCTTGTGGCAGTAGGACTCCCACAGCTGCGTCGGTGTGCTCTGAGACGGAAGGCAGCTGTGACAGATGGGTAATGTTGTACCAAAACCGAGGCGTGAGCAACAGAAGAACCTCTCCAGTGTGAACTGAAGTTAGGATTTCTGTAAGCCAGCTGTGAGCAGCTTAACATGGACCTTCTCTGCTCACTCTCTTTTAGTTTTGCTGTAGGGTGTGTGTGCACTCGTGAGAGAGGAGAGAGAGAGAGAGAGAAAGTGGGAAATCAACCCCCTGGGAGGGAGGGCATGCAGCAATTGCTTCTCCTCCATTCTCCTCTTGGGATTTGGGGCATGCACACACATGTACCTAGTGTGTTGTTTATTTATTTGTAATAATAATTTATTTATTTAATTCCATTTGTTGTTATTATTTTTTAATTTGACCAGAGAGAGAGAGAAAGGGAAAGCGGAAAAGCAAGCTACCAGGTCCAGGACTCGAACTGCAGTCAGCCACGTGGGAGTCCAGTGCCCTCAACCCCCTCGCCACCTGCCAGTGCCCCCAGTGTGTTTTTAAAGCCATCTGATCCGGGGATTTGATCTGTACAGCTGACCATGTGGGATCCAGCTGCCTTAACCACCAACCATGTCACCTGGAGGACCCTCTGCTCTCTGAAATGCAAATTTTTAGCTTCTTAGGAAACTTCAAAAGATAAACTGTCTTCTAAGAAAAAGAGTTGGAGAAGATGATGAAGCCTGGGATGAGTGACAAGTCCAATACTTTGCTTGGGTTGAATGATGGTGGCTATTATTTTTCATACCGACCACATTAACAGATAACATTTTTAAAAAGAATTATTTCATTTTATTTATCATTATTATTCACATTTTTCAATTTGCTGCAGGACACGTGCGCTCACCAGAATTTTTATGTGCCAGCTGCTAGTAGCTTAACATGGATCTCTGCTCTCTCTCTCTTTTTTTAAAGTTTTGCTGTAGGGCATGTGCACTCATATGAAGGAGAAAGAGAGAGCGAGAAGGGAAGTGGGAAAGCAAGCTGCCAGGTCTGGGACTCAAATGTGATCGGCCACATGGGAGTCCAGTGCCGTATGCACCACGCCACCTACTGGCCCCAACAAGTAAAAATTTAACAGCATAGAACTTAAGTTCGTTCAAAAATATACCCTTAACAAATTATTCAACAGCGTTTTTCTAAGCAAACGGCTTTCGGCAACCACTGCATTTCCTCAGGCTCCACAAAGGTGGTACGCTTGCGTTGTGAGGGGAGGTTCCTGGGTTACATTTCAGTGTGCCATGAGCTACTGTCAGAGAAGCGAGGCTCCCATGAAGCTTCAGTCCTTAAGGGAAGTGCTTGCTTATGTCAGACTTAGCATTCATTGGGCCCCTTTTAGAAGATCCATTCTGCTGGAACATGAATCTCTGGCACTTTGACAAACACGTTTACATCACTGAGAAAGTAAACCGGGGAGCCAGCAGTTAGCGTAATGGCTATGTCGCTGGACTCCCACGTAGTTGACCGCGGTTTGCGTCCTGGACCTGGTGGCTTAAAACTCACGCTGGGCGTGTGTGTGTGCGCGTGCCCAAGATCCCGAGAGGAGAATGGAGGAGAAGGGATTGCGGCGTGACCATCCCCCTTGAGGGGTGATTTCTCGCTTTCTGTCTCTATGTCTCTCTCTGTCCGGCGAGTGCGCACACCGTATAGTGAAAACCTCTCCAAAAAAAAAAAAAAAAAAAGAAACAAAGTAAACTGCTCTCATGGTTGGAGATGACTCAGTGTTCTGGCTGCCGGAAGTCAGCCTAACAGGAAGGAGGCAAAGACCTGGGGGTCACTCTGTGCACCTGTGGGGTTAGTGCAGCCTGGCGCGTCCTTATGGAGAACTCATTCTACAACCAGAATGAAATGCTACTGCAGTTTTCACTCTGGTTACGATCAGCGTGCTAGTAAAACCCCTGGGATGTGCTGGTATGAACAGTTTGCGGAACAGGCTGCCGTGCGCGGTCCGAGGGCTGTGTGGAATGAACGCCTTACGTTTGCTCTGCTTCTAAGATGCTCATCGAGTGGGGTGACAATCTTCATCTGAGACAGGTGGACTCGGCCAGTCTCCTCGCCCTTCCGGCATTCCAAGTAATTATCTTCCGCCTGCTTCAGCACCACAAGTACATCCCCACGCTGGAAGGAAAAACACCCCTCTCTGAAGCAATTATTATTTAATAAAACATTATTACTTTTTTCACATTGTAATCTTTGGAGCCTAAAGCATTTAATAACGCCTAATAGCAGTCACGGAGGCCAGCGATTTTTTTTTTTTTTTTTTTTTTTTTACATCCATCACTAAAGAAAGAGGCTGGTTTTACCTTACAAGAGAGCTCTCCAGGGCCTGGCGAGATGACGTCTTCATTGGCAATTCCGTGAGGCACGGGCAGCTTCAATGTAAACCAATAAAAGGATTATTCACCATCAAATAATCTCCTCCTAAGTTGTTGCTCATTTAGGGATTTGGCCGGAGGCCTGCAGCGCAACTTCTCCAGCAGCGACACTCACCCCCTGAGGCTTCTGCACACTCTGGCTCCAGGGGGACCTGCTGCCAGATGCTGAAAGCCCTTGCGAGGGGGAGTGGAGCCCCCAGAACCACAGGGCCGAACACGGCCCGAGGGTCCCTTTAGCACCCACAGCCAGGAAGTGCCATTTGCAGGCCGGTCTACCAAGTCCTCTGGGGCCGGAGGATCAACGCTCAGCTCTGACCTCAGGGCCTCGGAAAGCAGGGCTCTGACTCAGCGTTCTCACAGAGGCTGCCTTCTGGTGGCCAGTGGGCAGCACCTGCCCGACAGCTGCCACTCTTCTCAAGTCCCAGCCTTGCCTGGCCTCTCTGCTACCCAGTGTCCACTTCAACTCACTCTGCTGCCTGGCCCGGGACAGCTCTACAGGCCCTTAGTGTGGGTTTTACGTGTGCACCCACTCTGCCTGGGGGCTCTGTTCCTGATCTCGGAAACTGTGGCCAATGTACAAGACAAGGTGTAACCCAGGACAGGTAATCAGCTACTTCCGACACGGAAGCAGGCTGCCTGGGTCTTTGAGTCTACCGGGAACAAGACGCAGCACACACAGGTGTGGCTGTGTGGGGCTGGGCTGGGTGGTACCGCTCCCCAGAACCTCTCTGAGTCCTGAGAAACCAACAGGCTAGATTGTTGGCTAGCAAGTTAATGGTAGAGCAGCCTTGGGGGAAAAAAGAGAGGGATTTAAAGACTTACTTTACAATAAAACATATCATTCTATTAAATGTATAGTTTCCTTGAGTTCTTTTTTATTTTTTTCTTTTTTTGAGAAATTTTTGCCATAGAGCTTGTGCGCTTGCAAAGAGACAGAAAGCGAAAAATCACCCTCCAGAGGGGATGGCCTTCCACAGTCCCATCTCCATTCTTCTCTCAGGATTTTGGGCACACATGCACACGAGCTTAGCATGAATTTCAAGCTGCTGGGTCCAGGACTTGAACCATGAGTTGACCACATGGGAGTCTAGTGACTTAACCTCTACACCACCTGCTGGCACCTCCCTTAAGTTCTTTAAGTGTTTTATTGACATTACACAGTTGTGCTAAGATGCCTAAGCCATAGAAATCTGGTCCCCAAGTCCACGGCTCTTAATACAGACTGGCAAAAGCACGCAGTCGTTATTAGAAAAAATAATGGTATTTTCCCTTTTCTTTTTTTTAAAAGAGGTTTTTGCCTTAGGGCACGGGAACTGGCAGGGAGTAGAGAGAGAAAGACAAACAGAGACAGTGAGAGGGAAAGTGAGAAATCACTCCCCAGGGGTGATGGCCTGGCCGTAATCCCTTCTCCTCCGTCTTCCTCCTGGGATCTTGGGCACACACGCACATGCGCCTGCCACTGGGTCCAGGATTCGAACCACAGTCATCCATGTGGGAATCCAGTGACCTAACCACTATGCCATCTGCTGGCCCCAACAACACTATTCTCATGGTATGGTATAATGATTGTGATCTGTGCTCAAACGTTGGTTCCACCATTAACTGGCTGTGTGACCTTGGGCAAGTAACTTTCTCTGTGTCTTATTTGTACAATGAGGGTAACAACAGTATCTCCCCTGCCAGGTTGGCATGAGGAAGAAATGAATTACTGCGTATATGTCAAGGGCTTCAGTGCCTGACTCATAATTACTACTCAGTACACACCCGTGTCTATTTTTATTTATTAACTGATCTATGCCAAAGGACACCTCTGGTTTAAGCCATTAAAATTTCATCAGTTTAAATGAATATGAATGCAGATTAATACATTACTCTTTCTTACCTATCTCTTCTCTAAGGAGGATTAAAAAAAAAACACCTCTCAACAGCTTAAAAAAGGAATAATTCCTGAGTCAATGATGGAAATGCAGAACAATATAAAAAAAAATTTTTTTGAGAGGTTTTTGCTATAGGGTGCATGCGTTCGCCAGACAGACAGAGAACAGATAGACAGAAAACGAGAAATCACCCCCCAGAGGGGATGGTCACGCCGCAATCCCTTCTCCTCCATTCTCCTCTCGGGATCTTGGACACGCACGCACATGCGCCCGGTGTGAGTTTTAAGCCACCGGGTCCGGGATGCGAACCGCGGTCGACTACGTGGGAGTCCAGCGACATAGCCATTACGCTAACTGCTGGTTCCCTAAAACTAAAACTTTTTTTAAAATAAAAAATGCATTAAAATATCTATTAATACCTATTTAATGACTGCGGTAAGCTAATATAGTCCCAGCGAGGTGCTACTTTATAGTATGTTCACTTTACTCACGGAGGTTTACGCCTAAAGTCAGATGTGTTCATAAAAATGTATATATCAGCTGTGCTTGCTATTGAAAGTCTTTAAATTAAGATCTTTAGTGAATCAATAAAATGAAAAAAAAAAAGGCATTAAAAAAAAGAGCTACTCTGTCATACAGTTGTTTAAAAAGTGCAAAAACCCCTGCTCTTGATCATTTTTATTTATTCGGTTGTCAGAAAAGTCATGCTGCATTTTTCTAGTTTTTTCCTATGCAAAAATGCAACCCAATATTTTAGATTTCACTGGGCTAACCAGACCAAAGCAGAATACACATCAACTCTGTTTCTAACTACTGGAGACGGAGGAGTTGACATCATTTGATGGGAAAAACACTCAAAGAGAACAAAGTTGGTATCTTAACTATCTCAATTATTGATGCTAATTTTAACTGATGACTATTAAATGAACTATGATAATTAGGTTTACAAAAGGAAAAACTGCATTTTTTTTAAAGAATTATTTTATTTAACTTTATTTACCTATTTTAATTTGACCAGCGAGGGACAGAGTGAGAGAGAGAGAGAAAAAGGGAAAAAAAGAGCAGCCAGGTCTGGGACTCGAAACGCAGTCAGCCTTGTGGGAATCCAGCACCTTAACCACCATACCACCTGCTGGCCCCAGGAAAACTGTGTCTCAATAGAAACTTTCTATCTACTTCATTTTAAATTTTACTCAGTGAGCAAAGTAGTTGTAAGGTATAACCCATACTAAGATATAACAGCTGGGGACCAGCAGATGGCGTAATGGTTATGTCACTGTATTCCCACATGGCCGACCACAGTTCCAGTTCTGGACCTGGCGGCTTAAAACTCACGCCGAGCGTGTGTGTCTGTGTGTGTGTGTGTGTCCTCACATGCGCGCCCGGAATCCCAAGAAGAGAACGGAGAAGGGACTGTGGTGTGGCCATTCCCCCTGAAGGGCAATTTCTCATTTTCTGTCTGTCTCTGTCTCTCTGGCGAGTTCGTATGCCCTAGAGCAAAAAAAATCTCTCTCTAAAAAGAAAGATATATCTGTTAGAGTTACTGCCTCTAGAATAACTTACTATGTCAGGTTTCTCAGAGTTTTTGTTTGGTCAAGACAGCCAGCCAGTTACATTCCCTGTCTGCCCTGCTTTTTCTTTCACTAGACAAGGGGATTTCAGAAAGTTCACGAAGGGACCAGCAGATGGCATAATGGTTACGTCGCTGGACTCTCACATAAGGAGAATGGAGAAGGGATTGCGGTGTGGCCATCGCCCCTAGGGTGTGATTTCTCACTCTGTCTCTCCGCACATGTGCCCTATAGCAAAAAGCTCTCTTAACAACAACAAAGTTCACAGAAAATGGAACTGAATCACAAATTTTGGTGCAAAAAAATGTAAAATCTTGGCATAGCTTTTCATAATATACATTTCCCATGAATTTTTTTCCCCTCCAGAGAGGTCTTTGCTATTAGGAAACATGTGCTTGCTGAAGAGACAAAGAGACAGAGAGACAGAAAGCGAGACATCATCTCCCTGGGCAGGAGGGATGGTCATACTGCAATCCGTTCTCCATCTCCTCTAGGGATCTTGGGCACACATGCACACGTGCCTGGCGTGAGTTTAAGCCACCAGATCCAGGACTCGAATCGCAGTCGACTACTTGGGAGTCCAGTGATGTAACCTTTATGCCATCTGCTGGGCCCAGGATTGTAAGTACACGTCAGGGTAAATCTCTTGACGACAACCATCTTTAAATGCTAGACTTACCATGTATTTCCTGTAGAGAGGGTGTCCAGGTTTGGGGCGCGGGGGCAGCACCGGATCTTGACTTCTGAAGACTTGACTCTTGGCTTTGGAGAGTCCAGATGCCAAGTGACTTTGCTTTTTCTGAAGATCCATATCAGAAGAGGATCGATTAAAAGGCAGCTTTTTACTTGATGTTCTGGTGGCAGAAAGTTTCGGGGGAGGTGGTCTCTCGGGGGGCCCCCTGGGAGGAGGCTGTCGTGTCGGAATGGCTCTTCCATTTACGGGTCTGCAAGTCAATGTGGTAGCCATGGGTCAGCGTTTTCACTGGTATCAGGTTCTGTCTGTCCTTCTTACAGGCAGGCAGGCAGACAGACAGGCAGACAGACACACACACCATTCTGCTAGCAGAATGCAATTGACTAAAACATGCAGGGTATGCTATTTTTGAGCAAATGACTGCTGCATTAAACATTATATTATTAGAGGATATACCGTGATGGTTCGGCTTCCACTTATCTCGCACTGGAGATTCATTAGTTCAAGACAAACAAGTATTTACTATCAGGAGCTCTCGAAGGCCCCATTTGCTCTTAAACACACCATGGCTGTTTCAGGAAACTAAGCACTTTCTACCGAAGTCTGTGATGAAAAGCTGGTAATAAGGTATCAGGTATACATGCCAGCGTCTTGTACATGATGAGAAAAGGAACATCAAAATCCCCTAATATTCCTGTTATAGGAGTTACTATCAAAACCCTAATTTGGATTCATATAAAGGAAGTTAGTTCTGAAAATGGGATGGGACCACTATTACTTTGAAAGCCTTCCCTTAATCCCGATGATAGAAATAATTTTCAAGATGGTAATGTCGTCTACGGTATTACAGCCTTTTGTTACATTGCTCTGGAACTCGGGAGGCAGGTCACCTCTGAGCTCATAAAGCCTATCTCCCTTTGGAAATGGCAAAAGAAAAGGAAGAAAAGGGGCCTTTTTAAATTGAGGAGAGCAGGGACAGACGGAGAGAAAGAGAGAATGTGCACGCATATTATAGCTAGGAGTTGTTTTAGGTTCAGAAAGGAGTCTTGGTTCACTTGTTCAAGGAAGAGTGTCACACACGGATGTCTGTGCTCTGTATTTCCAAACTGTGTTGAGAGAGGACAGGGGCAGAGTTCTTCCAAGCTTCTGTCGCCGGGCGAGTAGGTGAGATGATTATAGCTCTAAAAGGAGATCTAAGGCCAACGACACTCAGTCTCGGTGGTTAATAAGAGAGCTGGCCTCAGAGTCATCAGTTTCCCTCTAACTTTCTGACCCTTACCTTGGTGGCATCCTTGGGGGTCCTCGCATAAGACCTCCTTTTTGACCAGTGTGGTCGGATTCCTGCAAGAATCAGGGAAATACGTTTTAGTTAAGGTTAATCTGAAACGAGAACTCTCAAAAAAGTATCCTGGACACCTTTTGGGCGGGATCTGCAAGGGGAAATGTTGCTCAGTTATAAAGAGTAGCTTAAACGAGAGTCAGCTTTTAGGATCTTTTAAAAGATAACTATCTCCAATCATATTAACTGGCTCCTAGCTAAATTACTCATGTCCTAATACAAGCGAAAACCTTGAGAGGAAGAAACCTTGGGGCCTCCCTCAAGGACCACACTTTGTTTTGTAAAGGGGGTTTAATCACAGGTAGGAATACTTGGGCTAATTAATTCACACTATTTTCCTCCTTCCTATAAAGGAGTTAAAGCTCACTTTTATGATTTTTTAAATTCATACGGAATATTTACAGCTTTCCCTTAAATACCAAATGATTCATCGCCAATAATTGTGGTCATTTAAACATGTTTCAACGTTTTAAAATCCCATTTTTAAAAACAAATTAAGCTTGTCCTTAAAACTTGGTTTTACTAATGAGTTCGGTTAATGTAGTGAGGCAAGTCATCAGCTCATAAACCCCGCAATATTCCCGAATATAACCCATGCCTTATAAACACGCTGCTGCCTGTATTTCTTCCTGACGAATACCACTCCTGCTCTTGAGCAAGGCTCTTATTTCTGCGCTCACCTTTAAGATGAAAACAAAAATCTAACAGGAGGGGAGAAACTTTGATTGCTTTTCTCAAAATTATAGCTGTTAGATACCACAGTAATTAAGGAAAAAAAATTAAAAATAGATGTGTAATTTTGACATGGGAAGGTACAGAGGTAGGCCAGTAGGTGGCGCAGTGGTACAGGCTCTGGATCCCACATGGCTAAGTCCATGGTTCAAGTCCTGGATCAGTGGCTTGAGAATCACACTGGGCGTGTGTGCCCAAAATCCCAAGACGAGAATGGAGGAGAAGGGACTTCAGCGTGGCCTTCACCCCGAGGGAGGATTTCTCGCTTTCCCTCTCTGTATCTCTCCAGTGAGCATAAGTGCCCGATAGCGATATAACTGGGGTGGGGTGGGGTGGGGATGTGTGGGTTGGGGGGAGGCTGGGAAGAGAAGTTCAGATGATGCCGTCGGAGAGACCCACAGCTACACACCTGATTCTGTACCCTGTGTTAGCTGCGGTTTCCTCTGGGTAGTGGTATTTTTATGGGAAACCTTAATTTGCAATTTCCCACAGTGAGCAAACTTGAAATCAGGAAAAAAAGGTAGTTTACTCAAAGTCCTCCGGGCTGTTCGGCAAACCCCGAAAGGCATTTCTGTACCCGACAGACTCCGAATGCTAAGCCTACCACAGGACGCTCCTACGGGGGACCTGTCTTTGGTGTCTGCTCAAGTCTGGGTTCGTGCCCAGGTTCCGCTGACAGCCCTGGGAAGATTATTGATTAGGAATTTCCTCCCCTTCACTATTCCACACAAACCTGAAGCCTCTCAGCATCTGGTTTTTGGTAGTTTTTTCTCTAGCTCTGACTTTCTTGAACATTGGCTTTTTTGGGGGCGAGGGGTAGGTTTTTGCTATAGGGTGCGTGCGCTTGCCAGAAAGACAAAGAGAGACAGAGAGACAGAAAGTGAGAAATCACCCCCCGGTGGGGATGGTCACATCGCAACTCCTTCTCCATTCTCCTTTGATTGCTTTTCTCAAAATTATAGTTGTTAGATACCACAGTAATTAAGGAAAAATTTTAAAAATAGATGTGTAATTTTGACATGGGAAGGTACAGATGTAGGCCAGTAGGTGGCGCAGTGGATATTGGGCACGCATGCACACACGCCCTGCCCGGTGTGAAGTTTAAGCCACCGGATCAGGGACTCGAACTGCAGTCAACTGCAGTCAACTACATGGGAGTCCAGTGACATAGCCATTACGCCAACTGCTGGTCCTTTTTTTTTTAGTTTGCCAGAGGGTACCTGTGTTCACCAGAGAGAGAGACAGAGAGGGGAGGAAAGTACCTCTGCTAGGTGTGGTCATGCTATAGTCCATTCTCTTCCATTTCTCCACCCTTTTGGGATTTGGGGCATGCACACACAAACACCAAGTATGTTTTTCAAGATGCCAGTTCCTGAATTCAAACCACTTAGTCGGCCATGTGGGACTCAGCTTCCTTAACCATTCGGCCATGGGCCGGTCCTGAACTTGGGCTTTGATGTATACAGGGAAGCATTTTATTAGTTCCTGGTGAAGGGGGCTTTCGTACTGTCTTTGCACATGCAATCTTTTTCTCATCTGCACCGGAATTATTATCACACTTCAAAATAACTGCCAGTTTTTCTGCTGCATCTTAAAGAGAAAGTGATTTCTCCTAGAATCACACTCCTGTCGGGATTAGCGAGCAGCTTTCAGACTCTCTTCTCTCCTTTCTCCAAGAGCTGGTACCGCTGATTATGCCCTGAATCCCGTCAGCCCCATCTCCTCTGCTTGTGTCCGGAAGTGCTGTTCTCGGCGACCCCTGATTCCTTACACACGCTGCAGCGCCTCCTTCCTCTTCTCCTGTCCTGGCTGGCAGCCTCCTGGAGACACTCTGAAAGTGGCAGGCAACAGGACACAGGAGGTGTCTGCTGCTGTGGCCAGGATGGCTCTAGTGACTCCTAACGTTTACTATCCTGGAGTCTCTCATGGCTGAAATGAAGAAAGTGTGGTTTGGCAACTACAGCCGTCCCGTCCTGAGGTGGGATGTTCCCCAGCACCCAGAGCAAGGGGAGGTTTCTATGCTGTGCCTCGGTCAGGAGACAGAGTGGCAGGGACCGGGCCTACCCTCATGGATCACTGTCAGGGTGAAATACTCCTAAAGACCCCACCACACCTTAGTAGTCTTTATGACTTCTGGTCTGCAGCTCACTCAATAACTGTAATTCTCAAACAAGAAGGCGTTTCTTATGCACAGGTTCGCCTCTCTGGTCTTACAAATCTATACCAGTGACTTGAGGCCAATCGTTTAACTCGGGACCTGTTTCCTCACCTCCCCCACCTTCCTTTGGGGTGTCTATTATGGCGTCATTCACAGCAGTCCCGCACAGAGTGCTCGGGCTCCCTTATGAACAGCGCAGGGTGGGAGTTTCCTCATGGTGTTCATGAGAGCACAGACACTGCTGTGAATACACTCTCTCGCCAGACGCTAGAGTTCACCCTAACTTCCTTTTCTTGTTTCAGAAAGGAAGGAAAACAAGAAAAGGAAGTTGCTCGTGGACTACTTAACACCAGATGTAATGGTATGTAACATTTCAACAGAGCTTCACAGTTTAAAAAGCCCATGGCATCACTGACGAATGCCAGGTATACTTGCTCATCACCTTCTCACACTCCCTTTCCCTAACTTCTCAGGGTAGAAGCCAGTAACCTTCTCATGCAATTTTTCCTCCATACATAGTTGGGATCTTCCTATCGAAAATAGTACGATAGGGGCCTTACGATCTTCTTTTGGACTTTTGTGGCCCAGTTTTAATAAAAACGTATTACCAAGTACTTGGACAATGCAAGCGATCACTAAATTTTAATTCATTCTACAAGAAATTCTCATTAGCTTAATTTTGGGGCTAATTTAATTTAATGTCTCCTTCAAAGAAATTTCTCTTTACCATATGATTAGGCAGGTTTGCCTGTATAATAATTGTACATTGTAAAACCATTATAAAATTTGAACTGAAAATTTGGCTCCAAGACTTTAAGAATAGATTTCTCTTTGGATAAACTTTAAAGATAATCTACCATATGGAAATTTAAAACTATGTATGAGGCAATGGTATTGAGATTGAAATAAAAAAATATATATGTATATGTGTGTGTGTGTGTGTGTGTGTGTGTATATAAACTCTTGACTACCCTCTTAACAGATACCTTGTTAAGGATTCTTTTAAATGAAAAAAAGTGAAACTCTCCTTAAATTTCAGATTTAAAAACGTTTTATGGTGGGACTAGCAAGTAATATGGTAGTTAAGGCACTGGACTTCCACATGGTCAACCTGGTTCAAGACCCAGATCTGGCAGACTGAAAATTACAATGGACTAATATGTGTGTGTGTGTGCTCCAAATTCCAAGAGATGGGAGGAGAAGGGATTGTGGCATGGCCATTCACCTGGGGGTGATTTCTCACATTCTTTCTCTCTCTTTCTCCAGTGAGTATGTATGCCTTATAGCAAAAACAGAACAAACAGAATTCTTATAATAATCACCTTAAAATGTTATTAACAATATTATTAGTGTCATTTGGTGGCCCAGTCATAGTAGCACAAATTAGGCATGGCTGCTTGGCAGGCTGAGGACACAAAGGAGGCCTGGTTCAATTCCTGGCCCACCCACAAAACTGGCACGAATCTGAGGCCTCGTTATGCAGGAGGCTATGGCAGGAAGACTGAGATTGCAGATAGCATGGGTGGCACAGCAAGACCTGTCTGAAAGAGCCGGGCATGGTGGTGTGTGCTTGTGGTCTCAGGTACTTAGAAGACAGGCAGAAGGATCCTGGCACAGTGAGACCCTGTCTAAAACAGCAAGCACACATACATACATCCACATTGTGCATATGGTCACATTTCCATGCACAAAAAACTGAACTACGAATTGTCTCTATCAGGACCAGCAGGTGGTGTGATGGTTAAGGGCGCTGGACTCCCACATGGCCAACTGCAGATCGAGTCCTGGACCTGGTGGCTTGCTTTCTCACTTTCCTCTCTCTCTCTTTCTCGCTCTCACTCTGACCCTCTCTGGTCAAAATAAAATAAATAAAGTAATTCTTTAAAAACTAAAAAGAATTGTCTATATCCTGTACTCCAAAAGACAATGTCATTATGTTGATACAGAATAAGTTATTTTATAATGATGTACAATGAACTGACCTAATCTCTCGTAGGGATTTTTAAAACATTGTGCATCACTTTAAATAAGTATATGGGGTGTAGCCATTGGTTGGTTGGTTGGTTGGTTGGTTTCTTTCTTTCTTTCTTTCTTTCTTTGTTTCTTTCTTTGTTTCTTTCTTTGTTTGTTTGTTTGTTTGTTTGTTTCTTTCTTTCTTTCTTTCTTTCTTTCTTTCTTTCTTTCTTTCTTTCTTTCTTTCTTTGGAGAGGTTTTTGCTATAGGGCACGTGTGCTCACCAGAGAGACAGAGAGAGACAGAGAGATAGAAAGCAAAAAATCTCCCCCCAGGGGGGATGGCCATACCACAACCCCTTCTCCTCCATTCTCCTCTTGGAATCTTGGGCACGCACACACACGCACCTGGCGTGAGTTTAAGCCACCGGGTCCAGGATTCAAATCATGGTTGACTATATGGGAGTCCAGAGACATAGCCATTACATCAACTGCTAGTCCCACCATTGCTTTTTAAAAAAGGTATTTTTTTTAATCTGACTAGTGGTCAAACAATTCAGACATTAGTTAATAGTTAAAATTACTGTATAATTTGCTCAGCAGCTAATCCAATCTGCAATGAGCACTTACCAAGTTTCTAGTTCTGGCAACGTTACTGAGCTTTCCGGACACGACGATGTGAGTGTTTCCGATGGGCTTTTCAGCAGGGAGAGGAGGTGGGCTTTGTGTGTCCTCGTGTAAACCTGGAAGAAACAGCAGTCACTCCTCAATGATTTCTAGTCTTTGAGATTCTGAAGCATGAAAGGATTGTACGTTGGTGCCTCAGAAAAACAGCTGTGATAAAAGAGCCACACACGAAAACGGACAGTTGAGCAATTGAGAAAGCGCTTCCAATGCGTCTCAGAAATTGATGTTAGCTGGTATCAGTTCATTCTACTGTGTGTTCTGTAGACAGTGAAAACATACTAAATAAGAACACCACCTAGCATTTGCTGGAAACTTCTATATGCTGGGCATCAAGTTAGGTGCCCTATCTTTGCATTTTTCCAGTCGTCATCAATAAGCTAGACCTAGCCCGTCCACTGGCTGGTCTCCAGTGGAGGTTGAAACAGAAATCTTTTTGTTTTCAGCCAGAGGGCATGTGTGCTCGCCAGAGAGAGACAGAGAAAGAGAGAAAGCACCTCCCAGTGGGGGGCGGTCATGCCACAATCCCTTCTCCTCCATTTCTCCACCCCACTGGGACTACGGGCACACACGTACAGACACTAGAGCTTTTTTCGAGCTGCTGGGCTGTGACTCAAAGGATGCAGTTAGCCATGTAAGATTTGGCTCCTTTAACCACCAGGCCACAGACTGACCCTAAATATAAATCTGGATTAAGATGAAGGAACGTTAGAGACCAGCAGATGGTGTAATGGTTCCGTTGCTGGACTCCCACATAGTCAACTGTGGTTCAAGTCCCGAACCTGGTAGCTTAAAACTCACACCGGGCACATGTGCATATGTGCCAAAAATACTGAGAAGAGAATGGAGGAGAAAGGACTGTGGCATGGCCATCTCCCCAGGGGATGGTTTCTTGCTTTCTGTCTCTAATTCTCCGCGAATGCACACACCCTGTAGCAAAAATCTCTCTTACAAAAAAATAAATAAAGATGAAGGAACCTTACGATTTCAGTTTCTCAGCTACACTAGTCACATTTCAAGTACTTACAGCCACTGCGGCTGGTGGCTGCCGTCCCGGACAGCACAGACATGGGACACTTCCATGTGCACAGAAAGCTCTGCTGAAGTTACATGAGATCATAGTCTACCTCTTAGTCTACCTCAGATGAAGCCACTGAGCAGAAAGGGAACAGCAAGCTCTCCAAGAGCTTTGTGCTAGCAGTGGCCACATCCAGGGTCTGAACACCAAGGCCTGTGCCCACCCTAACAAGGCATGCTGCTTCTTAAGACGTGGTGTCGCCAATCCTCCTCCAAAACAATGAAATGGATTTTCTAATTCATTAGCTCCAGATTAATCAACCGAATTACCCTCACTCAATTAAACAATATCTTCACATCCAAACCACATCTCCGCAACAGTGCACACCCAACTTATTTTAAGGAGAACAAAGATAACAGATTAAGCTGGTGACAGCTAATTCAAATCCGTGTGCAAAAGTTCTTGGAGAACGGAGGGCTGCCACACGCTGAACAAGGCCACGGTGGCCTTTTATGCTGTATAGGCCCTGGAAGGAGATGGGAATTCTCATTTTTTTTTTTTTCAAATGAATACCCTCTCCTTCCACTTCACATGAAAAACCTGTAATGAGAGGATGATTTGTCAGGGTCCTGTTTTATCCACAGACAGGCAAACACTCTCGAAGGGAGGGAAATACCCAGGCCAGCTACCAGGAAACAGTGATTTAGAGACGGGCAAGTGTTTGCGGTGAGCGCAGAGCTGCTGTGGGAAGGAAGACGCACGCGGGAACATCCAACTCAGTCACCATCTCGAAGCCGTTCTCTGCACCGCAGCGGCCTTGTCCTCACAAGGAAACCATGAATCGTTCAGGACCTAGTGTTAGCGAGACAGGCGTTCAAGAGTACAAAGTAGGAACATGAGAGCAGAGAAGAGGCTGCTTCCTGGCAGGAAGGGACTGGGGAATGCGTGTGTGGGTGTGTGGGGGATGTGGAGAAAGGAGATGGCTAATCTTTTGATTTTATTTATTTATTATTTTTTTTTTAAAGGTTTTTGACATACGGCACATACAGTCCGGGAGAGAAACAGTGAGGAGGAAAGTGAGAAATCACCCCGTTGGGGGATGGCCATGTTGCAATCCCTTCTCCTCCATCCTCTTCCTGGGATTTTGGGACACACACGCACGGGCCCGGTGTGATTTTCAAGCTGCGGGGTCTGGGACTTGAACTGCCGTTAGTCATGTGGGAGTCCAGTTCTTAACCACCACACCACCTACTGGCCTCGAGATTTCTCATCTTAAATAACACGGTCAGGGAAGCTCTAACTGAGGAAAATGGCACTTGAGCAAAGACACGAAGAAATGGTGAGGAAGGGAAGTAATTGAGGAAAAGATGTCCTGGCCAAGAGAAACAGGGCCAAGGGAGACCATGGTCTGTGCCACAGAGCTGTCCCCCTGGACACCGCAGGTCACACTCCTCCTCCTCCACAGAAGATACCGCGTGGCTCAATCATTACAATACCACGACTCTGGGGACCAGCTTTAACACAAACACCTCCGGAAACCACGCTGGCACTGTGTTCTCTCACATCTAGCAGTAGAGATCCCACTTCCCAGGGCCGTGCCCTGGCCTGGTGGTTAGGCAGCCGGATCCCACAGACTGACCACGTAGTTTGAGCCCTGGAGCTGGCAGCTAGAGGAGCACGCTGGTGTGTGTGTGCATGCGCTCCCCAAATCCCGAAAGGACGGAGAGACAGAGAAGGGATTAGGGTTTCCACCATTCCCCACAGACGCTGGGGGGTGTCGGGTGCTTTCTCCTCTCTCTGTCTCTCTCTCTGGTGAGTGCCTGTGCCCTCTAGCAAATCAGTCAACTTCCAGACAGTTCCTGGAGCTCTGTTGGGATAATAATTAGAGGTGCTACCTCAGAACGTCCTTTCAGGACTTGAGCAATACCAGGTCACAGGAATGCAGGAAAAATAAACACAGTTGGCTTACACCTGCTTAGCCACAGAAAGCTCTGCCTGCGTGGTCCGGCCCCGGCTGGCGTCTGGGAACTTGAGCTGTGAACAAGCCCCACCGTTCCCAGAACTGACAACAACAGAAGAAAAGAGCTTAAACACTTGCTTTCTTCCTGAGAACATAGAATTTTGGTCTGTGCTAACATTTCGTTCTTAAATAACATTTCTATTTATTTATTTATTTTTAAATTAATTTTAAAGACAGAGACAGACAGAGAGACAGAAAACCAGGGGAGATGGCCACGCCACAATCCCTTCTCCTCCATTCTCCTCTCAGGTTCTTAGGCACACACGCACATGCACCCAGCATGAGTTTAAGCCATCAGGTCCGGGACTTGAACCGCCGCTACATGGGAGTTCAGCGACATAGCCATTAAGCCAACTGCCGGTCCCCGCACTAACATTTCTAGAGAGGCCTATGTGGCCAGTCCCCAGCAACCAGCCTGGGTGCTCCTGAGTCTCCAGTGGGCATCCCAGGTGAGACATTGCACATGTGCTGACAGCTCCCCGCTGGGAGAGGGAAGCCCATCCTGTGGGACCCCGCCAGCAAAGACTCTTGGAAACGACACCTAGTTTCCTCCAGACTTTGCCCCGTCTGCCTTTTTCCTTAGCTCATTTCGCCTCAAATAATTTGTGTAATAAATCCCCGCCATGAATTCAACTGTCTGCGGAGTCCTATGGGTCCTCTTGGTGAATCACCAAACCTAGGCAGGGGTGGGGGCGTGGGAGCACCAACATGGCGGGAGAACGAGTGTGAGCACAGACGTTGTATTAGGGGAGACCCTCGTGAGCGTCTGGCAGGGCTTATTACCCTCCTATCTCATTCTGCCTGTTAACACAGAGTACAGGGCAGTCTCGCGTTCCGGGATTCTGACCCACTCGAGAAGGTTCTGGGTTCGTACCCTGTGACTTCCATGAACATGCTGGGTGTACCCGTGCCCTGAGGTCAGGGGTGGATTGTGGCACAGGGGCCCCGTTGGGGGTGCCTGTCTGTCTCTGTCTCTCTTGCTCATGGGAGAAACTATAAAAATAAAGAAACTTAGAAATCCAGAATATACTTAACAAGGTTACAGCAAACGAGCAAGAAACCCCCTGATCTACCATGTCACTGATGTGTGGACGGACACTGTCAAGAGAGATACACCCATTTTCACATCTAACACTACGACATGCTCCCCCAAGCAGGGTGAGCCCGTCAGAGGTCCCCATGACCTTGGCTCCTCTTCGTTCTTTTTTTTTTTTTTTTTTGGAGAGGTTTTCGCTATAGGGCGCGTGCGCTCGCCAGACAGACAGACAGAGACATAGAGACAGAAAGCGAGAAATCACCCCCCAGGGGGGATGGTCACGCCGCAATCCCTTTTCCTCCATTCTCCTCTTGGGATCTTGGGCACGCACGCACACGCGCCTGGCGTGAGTTTTAAGCCACCGGGTCCGAGACGCGAACCGCGGTCGACTACGTGGGAGTCCAGTGACATAGCCATTACGCTAACTGCTGGTTCCCGCTCCTCTTCGTTCTTCGTTAACGACTCAGTTTAATCTTGCTACTAGGCTGAAAGCCATCAGTTATAACAAACCTTCAAGGAGAGATCAAGCCAAGGTGATTACTTCAAGGGACTGTGTGGAGAAGCCAAAGCCCTGAAGGATGTGCATGCAGCGTGGCTCTGGGGTGTTACATGTGGGGGACGGGGACTCTTGCTCTGCTGTGAGGAGAAGGGGGGGTGCCCTGGCTATGCAAGGCATCGTGAGTGTGAGTGCAAATGAAACCACAGGCCCGTGGAGAAAGCTGGGCCGCCGGGCCAAGCGATGCTGGGGTCCCTGTGTGGGCACCCTCCCCCCTACATTTGTACCTTTTTTTTTTTCTGCTAGGGGGCGAGAGTGCTTATCAGAGAGAGACAGAGGGCAAGGAGAAAGCACTGCTTACGGAGAACGGTCATGCACATCCCTCTCCTCCATCTCTCTTTCCTTTTGGAATTTTGGGCGTGCACACACTGGCCTGGTGTTTCTCTCAAACCACCGAGTCTAGAACTTGAACTGCACAGGCAGCCATGTGGCTATTTACAAAAATTAGGGGAGAAAGTCTTTTATATGTTCCCACACTTTCATCATTTCCATATATTTCCATATTCTTCATTTGTTTGGAAAGATCCAAATTTTCATTTGGCATTATTTCCCTTCTATTGGAAAGACATCCTTTCACATTGCTTGTATTTCATTCTTTTAGTGATGAATTCTTTCAGCTTTTGTATGCCTGTCTTTATTTTGCTTTCTTTCTTTCTTTTTTTTTTTAGAGGTTTTTTGCTATAGGGTGTGTGTGCTCGCCAGACAGACAGAGAGAGACAGAGACAGAAAGTGAGAAATCACCCCCCCGGGGGGGATGGCCATGCCACAATCCCTTCTCCTCCATTCTCCTCTAGGGATCTTGGGCACACACACACACATGCCCGGCGTGAGTTTTAAGCCACCGGGTCCGGGACATGAACCACGGCCGACTACATGGGAGTCCAGCGACATAGCCAGCTAACTGCTGGTCCCTCAGATTTCTTTTTTGAAGTTTTTATAAAAGCTCATGCAGAATTTAATTTATTGTACTGTTAAAAATATCAACAAAGGGGGCCAGCAGATGGCGTGCTGGTTAAGGGTGCTGCACTCCCACATGGCTGATGGCGGTTCGAGTCCCGGACCTGGTGCTTGCTTTCTCACTTTCCCTCTCTCACTCTGTCCCCTCTCTAGTCAAATTAAAATAAACATATCAATAAAGTTACAAAAAAATAATTATTTAAAAAAAATCAAGGAAGTAGAATTATACTCATTTAAAAAGTATTTTATACATTATTATATGTTTTGAACGCCTTTGGTCACTGCTTTTCATACAACTTACACACGGCCATATTTAGATTATGCTGATTGGAATAACAGACACCAATAAATACATGCAACTTTACTTGCTATCAGTTTTGATTGCGTTCCTGTAACATTTTTACCGGAGACGGTAACGCGGGACACTATAGCTGTCCCGAGGTCACGGTCTCCCTCTGTTCTCTCTCCCTAAAGACAACACTGGGAAACAGGATTAAAATTTGCTGTAGTAATTCTCCAAAGAATTGTAAAAGAATAACTTGCTTATAAACATCGACTATGAATAATAATCAATGGCAGATGACACCTGATTTCAAAGGCAGATACTGATAAATTGGCATGTATTTCTCCCAGGCTCTGGGAGAAGCAAATGAAGGCAGCAATGCTGGGCTTACATGTTCCTGGTTTGGCTGGGATTCGGATGACAGTGGGCTTCCTGGAGGGTGCCGGCTGAGCTGCACGTTCTCGCGCTGGTTCTGTTTTTGCGGGGAGCTGGAAGGGATCTAATGAGAAACACAGTTTATTTTGCATGCTTTAGTTAACATGGACTCAAACAAAAAACCTCATTCATAATTTAAGAGTCATATTTTTCATGCCCCGGGGAAAGTTATGTGTGGCTAAACACAATCTCAGTTTGCCGAGACAGAAACAAAGTTGGAGCTCATGAAAGGAAATAATTCAGTGCTCTGTAAATAATTCAGATGGCTTTTCTTCCTCGCTGATGAGAGCATGCCAGGGCGATCCTGAATTATGTAGAAGCTACCTTTCAGGAGAGAACCACCAGTCCCTGAGAGTACACCTGTCAGCGAGGGCGCCTGAAACCAGACCTTCCCCGCATCGCGAAGCCTCCAGGGCCCCCAGGAAGGGAGGACGCCCCACGCCAGTTCTGCGATATTTACCCATGACTACCCACAGGACTCCCCAGTGACCCTCGTCCTGCCCGGCACCCGGCCTGGCATGGGGAAGGGACTCAGAAGTCTGATTTAGTAGTTGACTAAACCTACACTTCAGTGACACGAAAATAAAGACCGATCCCCCAAATGAAGTAAACCATCTCTCTTCAAATATTTAATTTTGGGGTAAGGATATATGACTCAGCGTTTCTTCATCTTAATCTATTTATTTTGAATGAAGAATATATGCTTAGGAAAGCATTTTAAACCAAAGCATAACGATAAGCATTTTTTACTGAAAGAAGTAAGAATGTTTTCTTTAATACAAATGCTTTCATTCAATGGCTTGAAAAAAAAAATGACTATATAATTTTTAAAAAGATGAGGAACCTAAAGCTAGATTAGCAGAAGCAAAACAGAATACCCCATAATGGACGTGCCACACAGCACACAGGGCCTCGGGAGGCCGTCCATGTCTGGCTGCGAGCAGCAGCAGGGAGCATGTTATATTATATTCTGCACTGCTCTGCACCTGCCCTGCGGCAGGAAGGTGTCTGGAGGACGATGCACTCCCTGTGCTGTGATCTGCAGCACGCATTTCCCAGGTAGGAGCAGCAGCCGATAAACACCTCCACTGACCAGCTCTGTGCCGGAGACCTGGAGGCTGAGCTAGCCAGGGCAAACCTTTCGGCAATCTGACACCCCCTCCGTTCTGCCCGGGCGACTCCACCAGCCACCTGCTCAGCTCCATGTTTATCGTGTGCTAGTCAGCGCTGGGGATGGAGGTCCAGTCGCCTGCACTTCTAGTTCGTTTATTTCTTCCATGAGACAGAGATACTGAGAGAGAAAGGGAGGAAGAGACAGAGACAGGAACCTCCACTGAGGTCCTTAAGCTGTGATCCACTCCCAGACTCAGCCAGCCAGGACCACGAGCATGTGGAAATGCCCAGAATGCACAGGGAGACCCTCGGACGTGACCTGGGTTCCCTGAACACAGTGGAGGGCCATGCACCACTGTGGCTGGCCAAGTGTGACCTCCATGCACCACTGTGGCTGGCCAAGTGTGATGTCATTTTAAGTTTCTTATCTACCTTTTTTATTTCTTTTGGAGAGGATTTTGCTATAGGGCACGTGCACTCACCAGAAAGACAGAGACAGACAGAGAGACAGAAAGCGAGAAATCACCCCCCACGGGGGATGGCCACACCACAATCCCTTCTCCTCTGTTCTCCTCTTGGGGTCTTGGGCACGCACACACACGCACCTGGCGTGAGTTTAAGCCACCAGATCCAGGACTCGAACCATGGTTGATTACATGGGACTCCAGCAACGTAGCCATTACGCTAACTACTGGTCCCAAGTTTCTTATCTACCTTTTAAGGGTTCCAGGATGGCATGCTAGCTAAGGTACTAATTAGGTTACTGAGAAAAAAAAAAAATAGACCCCTCAGGGCCAGAAAGTGGTACCGTGGTAAGACACAATTCTTTTTGAAGCTGACTCACAAGGGAATGTTCCAGGTTGTGTCTGGAAACCCCCTTGAGTACTCCAGCCACGCGTGGGTCCGTGATCCAGGGCTGGCTGGCGTGGACCGTGGCATCAGGACTACCGGACTGCCTCTCCCCGTTTCTCTGTCTCTGTTGCTCATGGCTCTGTGACATAGCGGTAATGCTGTGAGATGAAACTTTCTTATAATCTCCTCTCTCTAGAAATAACTAGTATCTTAAAAAAATTAGATGGGCCCAGCAGGTGGTATAGTGGTTAAAGCACAGGACTCCCACATGGCCAAGAGCAGTCTGAGTCCCGGATCTAGCAGATTGCTCGCTCTCGCGCATGCTCTCTCTCTCTCTCTCTCCCTCCCCACCCTCTGTCTCTCTCTGGTGAGTGTATGTGAGCAAATTTAAATAATAATAAATTAAATAAAAAAAAATAGATGACTCCTCTAGGGAAACCTATTAGCTCATAAGTGAGCTGAATTTAAAGTTCAAAACCTCAATTCAACATTATCAAAAGAATACCAGACTTAAAAGACTGTTATAATAATACAATTTTCTTCAACTGTAACCTATGTCCACCCTTGAAATAAACAAATAAACCTCCTGCTCTTAGATTGAACTAAAATCCTTGAGCGAATTCCTTACTTTGTTATAGCATTACTTTTTCTTGTTTCAAGTAATATTTGCTGTAAAAAGTGGGAAACGGGAAATACATAAATTAGGAAATGAAAATTTCTTATCATCTCATCTCTCTAGAAATAACTAGGATCTAAAATTTGGTCTATCTGTGTACATATTTCTTCCTGCTAATATTACAAGTAGTATTATTTTTTAAAAATCCATGACCGAGCACATATACACACACAGAGGATGAAGGGGAGTCCTCCGCACAGGGTCTGGCCACACCAGCCGGCAGAGCTTGGGTACTCCCACATACATCCACAGTGTCTCAGGCCGACCAGGCTGGGCAAGCCGAACTGTGGTCACCAGGTGGGACCTAGTTTCCCTTGGGCAGCGTCACCGCTGTGTCAGAGCCAGCCCACAGGTACTATTTTCACATAGATATTTTGGAAAAATAAAAAAGGGGTCAATTTATATCAACTTAGTTGCCTGCCCGCTTGCTTTGTTCTTTCCACACTGGCTGCTAATTCCCCACTGAATGGCGATGCAGGTGTTCGAATACACCAGAGCACAGGGCAGAGCAATGTGGCTTTGTGGAGTGTATATCCGAGCATGGAGACCAGTAATTCCTGGGGTACACAGAGGCAGGAAGTGCTACTGAAAAGGACCGAGCAGGGCCAGCCCTAGTGCGGCAGTCATGCCATCGCTTGGGTGTTGGTGTTGAGGCGGAGGGCCCTGGTTCATGTCCCAGGCCTCCCTGTGCGCGCAGTGGGTGCTTGAGGGCCTGTGATCCGGGCTGGCTGAAGCGGGGGAAGATTGCAGCGTGAGGACCACGTTGAGGGTCCTGTCCCCTCATCCACGGAAGAAATAAATAAAATAAGCTTTCAAAATATAGCTTATTTTTTTTCTCTTTGGTGGGCACATGCACCCTCTGGGAAGTTAAAAGGATAAAGAACAGGAGGCGGGAGAACCAGGCGGGGAGCTCCAGGTGTGGATAGAGGGAAGCCACCTGCAGCCTTCCGGAGGGAGAGGGAGGGAGGGCGCCGAGGTGCAGAGGCAGCATGACTCAGCACTTCCATGCTCTCCCAGTGCTCCCAGCCTGAGGTACCCCAGTACCCCTGGCCATCAGAGCGCAGCAGGGCCCACGGAGAAACAGGAGCAGGTGCATCTGTATTAAAGCCTGTGACTGGGAAGACCACAGAACCTTCTAAATCTCCACCTGGGTCAGCTGGTAGTCACATTAGCTACCGTGAAAGAATCCGAAGGCCCCGTGTAATCGGGCACAGGTTTATTCACGCTCAGAATCAGCCCCTTTCCTTTCTGTTCCTCTCCCTCTTCCTGCCACCGCCTCTGCTCTTCTTCCTGGGCCTTCTGGAACCCACGGTGCTCCAGGGAGCTCCCGGCCTTCCTGCCTGCTGCTGCGAGACCTGACCTTGCCCTGCTCCCCTAACACTGCCCTAACCCCTGGCTGGCTGGCACATCCCATCCTCTCAGGGCTCTGTTTTGTGCTGCGAAAAGAACAAACAATTCTAGAAAAGGATGAAGGCTGGCAACAGTTCATTGTTCTACCTTTGGAGTGACATATTTGGGTACCCATAATCTGTTATCTGTACAGGTTTTTAGTAAATTATGCCTTTGGAGGGAGTGGAAGAAAATCTTGAACACAGAATTCTGGGGGGCCAGCACGGTGAAGACAGCTGGACCCCACACGGCTGGCTGTGGTTTGAGCCCTGGACCCAGGAGCTTGAAAACACACTGATCACGTGTGCACGTGTGGCCAGAATCCAAAAGGAGAAAGAGAAGGGACTGCGGTGTGGCTGTCCCCACCGGAGGTGCTCTCATTTCCCCTCTCTCCTCTCTCTGTCCCCCTCTAGTGAGCACATGCACCTGGTGGCTTAAAACTCACACCGGGCGCATGTGCGTGTGTGCCCAAGATCCCGAGAGGAGAATGGAGGAGAAGGGATTGCGGCGTGGCCATCTTCCCTGGGGGGTGATTTCTCGCTTTCTGTCTCTCTCTGTCTGGCGAGCGCATGCGCCCTATAGCAAAAACCTCCCCCTGCAAAAAAATAAATAAAATAAAAATTAAAAAAAAAATTCTGGACAACTATCCCACCTGCATGCGCTCTGCCATACTCCAGGAGAGAGGGCATGGAAGGGGGAGAGGGGACAAAAAGAGGCCAACTAGCCCCAAGGGGCTGGCACAGGGCACTGAAAATATGCTTGCTGTTGGAGGACAAGGCAGATCTTACCCATCCTGTACACGGGCCATCTTCTTTTAACGTATTGAAGTTGCACAGGTGTAACGTACATGCAGAGTATTCGAAGTGCCCCGCCCACTGCCCTCCCTTCCTCTTCCCTAGCCATTTAATAGCATTAGCTGCTTTTCACTTCCTGGCACTCAGAGCACGTGGACTTACCCGGCTGTACATGTCACTGGGGAAAAAACTTTCCTTCTCCACACAGTGAGACAAGGCCGTGGGCTGATCACAGGAGTG